CGAATAGTGGGACCATTAAAACATCTTTGGGTCTTTCGGTTTAAAAGTAAGCATCAGTATTTGAAGCAATATTGTCATGTCATTAATCAAGGGTCAAAATTCTCTACACACTGTATATTAAAACTACCTTAAATTTTCATATGTATTTCTTACTCATTCTTTTTTCGAATCTTTATGCATATATCTGTCAGGAGTTCAAGAATAAGACAATTTATTTTATAAAGTATCTAGCAGATCTGATTCAGACATTAAAATAAATTATTTTATTAAAAATGAAATAACAATTTAAGAATATTAAAAATAATTTTAATTTCATGTAAGAATTATTATTTACTTTTAAACGAATTAAAGCAACTACGTTTACACTTTTTTCTGAGTTTAAGTTTTATTCCTTCGTGTCTAAGGTGGATTTATTTATCCAATGTTTATACTATTACTTATTTAAAACCAGGTTGAATCATATTTACCGTATCTGAGGTAAAAATATTGCTGGATTAACACATTTGTCATTTATTATTATAAACTCTCAAACATCTTCTAAATTATATGTAGAGCGTTTATGGTGTTAGAGAGAGAGCGTTCTATTACTTCACCTATTTATATATCTAGAAGTAAATAGGTCCACTAAGTAAATTATATTTAAAGACAATATTTGCTCGTCATACATGCTACATATATATATATATATATATATACATGAAATTATGAATATCAATTTATATTTTTATAAAATTTAATAACAAAACAAATGACCAATGCTTTTGGGAACTGCACCCTTGTAAAAGAACTTGTTCATTCTCATTTCATAATTAAAACTTACCCATTGTAAGGCTTGGCATGGCCTTGCTTTTTTTCCATTTATAAAAACAGTAGAGCATAAAACCAAAGCAACACAAAATGCTCATGTAAATTTTTAACAAATTTTTTACATTTATTTACATTTATATTTGCATAATAGAAAATATATTTAACTAGCCTTCAACAGCCCGAAAACTTAACACTACAAACAGTGTAAAACAATTTCCTCCGAAACACCGAAACACCGAAACACCGACCACCGTACACAACAACAATAGCCGCAAGGTAACACTGCCAAAGGACCTGCCCACCGCTGTCAATTAGCGCCAAAAAGTTGCTATTCTTCTCATTGCGTTGACATTTGAAATGACATCGTAAGTAGACAGAATCGTAACATCAATCCCGCCCACTAGAGAACACCGATTGCCTTTAAAAATTCGTCAAGCTCTGCAGTTCCTACTTTTCGGTATTCAAATTTTATGTTTAAAAGAATTGAGAAATGAATAATAATAATTGTGGTAATAAAAAGGAATGTAAAACATCGCATTCAGCGCTAAGAGGATTAACAGTAAATTAAGTCAAGGTAGAGTGAAGGTGCCTTTTTGCAAATATTTGACTTTGAGTTGGCAACTCGGTAGACCGAGTCCCTCACTTTTGTTGCCTTTCTTGTGTTTCGAACTCAATTTTAATTTTGGTTTTTGTGAATGCCAAATCTGTATAAGAAATGTAAATATTTTGTTTTTTTGGGAAAAGTAAACAAATCGCTGACAATTGCCGGTGCTTAAAAATGGTGAGGAATATTGAGTGGACTTTGCCTTAGTGGTGAGCCAAACAATTATGGTCATGAAACCATTGAGATTCTTTTAAATTTTTTATATAAAAAATTTGAAAAATATAATTTTTTTTAAATTCTTTGAAATAAAAACAATTTAAGAAAATCTAAATATTTGCGCGTTCACAGCTTTAAAATTAATTTTTATTTTTTTTTTTAAATTACAGAATGTGTATACTTTTTTTAGAACATAGTTTTGTTAAAAATCTAAAATTCTTATAGATTTTTATAGAATAGTGAGTTTGGTAATTTTTGAAAAAAATGTTCTCCTATTCTAATCTGAAGTTATTTTTAATATATTTATCGGTATTAATCAATTTTCGTGGGTTATAACCATTAGGTTTTATTCTTAACATCCTAGAAGTATGGTCTTAAAGAAAATAAGAAGGTCATTAATAGCTTACTAAAAGAGCATGATTTTGCAAACAAACCTGTCGGCTGACGGATGATACAATACTACTAGAATAACAAATAATATGTCAATGACTTTCATGAGTAGTATTTCTGAACGTTTTAAAAATTCATATTTATATATATATAAAAAATAGACATACTTCCACCAACATTCCAAACTTACAACCCTGTAGGATATTTTTAAACGAATAAATAAACGAACATCCCCATAAATTATTTAATGTGGTGCACTGCATATCATGCAGTTTATGATGGACATATGTTACGATAACGGCCCACTGTGCAGGCCGTACATTCCTGCCTTTGAGAATGTCAACATCTTAGAGAGGAAGAGCAAAAATTCAAAGAGACTAATGTCAGAAATGATCGATATCACCACAACACTGACAAGTAATATTTTAAATTAAGGAAGTATATAGAAATTTACTGGAGAAGTATAAAATACAAAATAAAATAATAAAAATGAAATGTCATATATAATATGGTAAACCAAACAGTTTCTTATTATGTCCTCAGAATTAATAAAAAAACAAAAAACAACCAAAATTGTGGTTATTCAGGAATACAAATATTCTAGTGATATAACATAAATAAAAAATCATTTATCAATAATTAAAATCAATATATCATAAAAAATAGAATATATCCTTCGTTTTACATCATAGAGAAACTAGAAGTATAAGCCTTATATGCATTATACATAACATATCAATTTCTTTTAGAAGCAATACTTATTGCAACATGTTTTTAATATTTGATAGACTATAATTGACTATATTTTTAATTAATAATTAAACTAAATTAACAGACTTCAGCAGTTATATATTAAAAATATTTTAAGTAGAAATAGTAGGAAAAATAGAAGTACTGATTAAGTACTCATCATTAATATATTAATCATTGCTAAAATATTTTTTTTATAGATATATAATTCATAATATACTAAAATAAATTTATCACAATTAATTATTTATAATTATTTTATTATTATTATCATTTACAATTATCATTTTCATATATTGTTGTAGTCAACACATATATTTTATTGATAGATTTCCATTTTAATAGGTTGTGCCTCCATGAAGATTTGGTCAAATAAGTTTAAATAAGGCAATATATCTTATTTAAATATATGTTAAATAGTTCAAACATATTTATAATATAAATATAATTTAATTAATTCAATAAGTACTGTAAGTTTTGGTTAAGTGGATACTTGGTATTATGCGTATATATAAAAAAAGCAAGCACAAAAACGTTTTGGAACTTAAACCCGTATAAAACATTTTGAACCATCTTACACTAGATATAATGAATTGTTTTAATTAAATATTTTTGGTTTTCGAAACCCATATACCTTCCCCAACTTCATTGGTGCGTTTTTTACGACATCATCTTAATACTCCGTTTAAAATTCTTTTCGGAAAATACTACGAATAGTCAAAATTTTTTTTCCCTATAGAGACACAATTATTTAAAATTTTAGATATTAAAGGTTATTTTCTAAATCTATGTATATAGAAGACTGCGTGCATTGAATACCTTACAACTGAAAAGTGATGTGTATTGAATCGGAACAGACTTCATACAAAGATCAAACTACGGAAGACGATATAACTTGGTTATAGTATATGAAGCTAAAAATACATTTCACTTATTTTAGAAGGGAAAATTGAAAGAAGATTAAGAGCAGAGGAAGTAGATAATTGGATTCCGAAATTATATACATTAAACGATTTTTGACAACATAACAATGTTATGGTATATAGCACGCTGTAGAAACAGATTCAGAGAAACTGCTAATAAACAGCTAATAACATATATATATATATATATATTGATATATTGATACATAAAATAATATATACACTCATATTTATTCGTTAATATATTTAAATTTACATTTATATTAGGACTGAATATTTTTGTATATGATCGATAATATTTGAAATCAAATATAGAAATAAAGAAGGAGTAAATATGATATATACTCGTATATCTAAATTTTAAAATTGTTGTTTTTAAACGTTAATGTTGGACTAAACATGTTGTCGGTTTTGGTGGCTAGTTAAGCTTTTTGTCAACCGTTCGTAGTATAATTAAATAAGAGAGTCCTTAATTTTACTTCCACATTAAAAGATTATAACTTTTGAAATTTTACGAACACTTTATAAAGTTTGTATAACAAATAGGTATAGATATTTTTTTGGCGAGCCAGAAAAATATTAACCTAAATTCAAAAAATTTAAAATTTTCGAAAAATTGTATTTGTAATTAAGCAATTGGATTTTTATTAATTTAAGCAAAAAGTTATAAATGTAAAATTTTTCTTTCTAAATTAAACGGAGAAAATTAAATGAAATTCTAACGAGAAGCAATAATAAATTATTACAGATCAAATTGTAATAACTATATCTATAACGTAAAATTCATTTTGTTCCAATTTTAAAATTTATTGTAATTTAATATAATTAATAATTTTGTGGTATTTATAAAATTTGATTCTATTTTAGTTTTCAAATAAATTTTATTTAGAACAAAAAACTTTTTCTTCTTATTAGGGATAAGTTAGTGAAGTAGAATTACTAGATTATATGGACTATAATGTAAAGATTAATAAGGTGAAATCATAAATTGAATATATTATTTATTGCAAATTAAGAAAAATTGATTTACTTCTTAAACAACTATGTAATCATTTTTATTTTTTGGATTAATTCAAATTTTGAATTCGCCCGCTAAATTAAGCTAGCGACTTAAGAAAAATGTTTAACGTTGAACTTGAAAAAAAAGCGTACACAACGGTATTCAAATAAAAATAAAGAATGTTTATATTTAAAACATAACAATTTACAATAGTTAAGTAAATTTGTATAGCTGTGTTTATTCGTTTTTCTTAAAACAACACAGCAATTGCAATTGTTGTTTGTAAATAAATAACAAAAATTAACGAAATTCGAATAATGCAACTTAAGTGTACATTCACTTTGTGTATTGATATAAATTCTGTCCACCAGTCCACGGTTCAATTTTGACGGTTCAATTTATATACGTATGTTACAATCAAACTATAGATGTTTCCAAAAATTACACTAGAAAACAAAAATTAATTCCTTTACTTTCTTTTTCGCTTTTTTCGTAAGGTTCTAGGTACATTTGGGTCTGCTGAGCTCAAATTTTCAACCTACACATCTTGTTGTCTGGCAATAACGGATTAAAATTTTAGGTTTCCAAAGATACGACTTTCATGTTTTCAGTAGGCTTGTGTTACGAATGAATATATAAACATTTTTGCCTTAGACATCTTTCCACAGACTCGGTTCATTACTCCTAAAAAGAGAATTTTTTTAAAATCAACCTGTAGAAACAACTCGTCTTAAAAAATATATGAAAAATCCCTCTTTTTGACAGGAAAAACTGGGCATTCAGGAAAGGATGCGTGTCTCTTTATATAAGAATTGTTTATTAACCCCTTAAAATCGAAGTTAAAATCAAACTTTAACCCGTTATTGCTAGAAATCCAGATGGGTTTCTTAGCACTAACTAACTAACTTACCTAACATTATTGAAAAATCAAAAAATAGAACTTATTGTAGCATAGTGTTATTACTGATGATGGATATTTGGCGTATCCGAAATAGTTATGTGGGCCGCCGAAGAAGATAAGATTGAAATTAATTAAAACTGACAAAGATTAAAAATGATTGGGCTGTCTTTTCTACTTTTTTACTTGAAACAAAATTACTGAAGACTCTTCAAAGTGGCATGGTACATACACACGAATGACATGCTAAGAGACCTTAGAATAGATCCGGTCAAAAAGTACATAAGGGACAGAGTCCCGAATTTATATGCAAAAACCGACAAGCTGCTCTACTTAGCACTATCTAATCTCAGAGTAATCACTAACCGCACAGTACGGTATTCAGATCTTAGATCTTAGATTAGTCAGTGAGATGGGTGGGACTCTGCAAAAACCCCCTAGCTGTCAAAGAGTAAAAGTTTCCAGATGCACTAACTCGGAAAAGGCTCAACATAATAGGTCATAATATATACAAAATATATATGTATATAAATTTATACATAAGAATAAATTTTTATATAAGTTTATTATTTATTAAATTCAATATATATGTTAGAATAAATTTTTGTATAATTTTATTTTTTGTTTTAACAAAACAAAACCATTATTTATATTGTTAAAGATGAATGTGAAAAGGAATGAAAAAAAAACTTTAACTTTAACAGTATAAAAAGTATTATTAAAAAAGTGAACTCGGAACTATTTTAATTTAGTAAAACAAAAACATTTGTTGATTGGTGTTAAATTGTATAAGAAATTTTGATAACAATTAAAACACAATAAACAATAAAAACCTAAAATAAACTTGTCATTACAATAATTCTAAAGGACGTTTGAAAGAGATAAAAATTCTGTTGCTGATATAAGCAATCAATGGCTTTTGATCTGTTATCGATTATTGTTTCTTATCGGCTGATAAAAATTATCGTGCATTATTGTTTTTTATAATGCAAATCTAAATCGCAAACAAGAACCTGCAATTATTTTGGAATTTAATTTAAATGAGAAATTTTAAACTTTCCCATTATCAACAAATTATGAAAAATGCCATAATTATTTATTGTGCTCTTAATTGTGTAATGGTTTTCACTATTATGTAACTGAACTACTTAGAAGTTATTAGAGAAAGAAATATTAAGAATATGGAAGACTAAATATTCTCTTCATGGTTTTTTATTTCATTCTCCATTGAATTTTAATTTCGATTAAAGTATTTGCCAATTTAGTTGAAAAGTATGTATTTTGAAAATACAAAATCCTCTGCGAATTATTTTGTACACAAATCAATTGAACCATCTGTGCTCCTCAAAGGTAAACACGCAGATTGTTTTGAATGTTGAGAATAATTTTATTCAAATTATGCAGCTTTTAGCTTGGAGAAATGCAAATTACAATTTCATTGATGCAAGTTTTCTACTTTCAATCTTTTCCAAACTTGACAAATGAATGTTCACATATTTAAAGAGTTTCAGTCAAGCATAAGAGTCTTAAAATGTTTTTAATTACAAAGAAGACGATATGGATGGAAACTGTGGAGCAACACTAAATGTCAGGTACCTTTCCAGTATTAAATTTAAATAATATGGAATATGAATATTGATGTATTGGAATTTCGTAGTTTTGAAAAGTAATTTGTATTTGATAAAATAATTTTGAAAATAATTAAAAAGATGTTAATTTAAAAACATATAAAACTAATATAAAACTAACTAATATAAAACTCAAGTTTAAAATGTTTTAAAGAGGGATGAGAAGTCATATTGAAATACTTTTTAGGCCGTGTGCGAGTTTGAGTAAATTAAAATTTCTTGGGGTTTTTTTGCACTGTACTTATGTAAATATTTATTTATTGCACTTAGTTATTTTTTTTTTTTGGTTAAAAGTTTTCAAATTCATTTATTTATTTATTAAACATCTTTTAAAATTTTTTTAATGGTAACAACTAATTTACCTAATTTTTATCTAATTTACCCTACTCGAAATTCTGGTAAATACTAACATTCGCTGCCATACCGACATAATTTACTATTTTCCTCAATTTACCATCAATTTACTCGAACTCACACACGGCCTTAAATATAAAGTATTTAAGAAAATACTTTTAAGTATAATTTAAATTATATTTAAAATTAAAAATTTTAATTTATATTTATTTCTAATTATTTTTCAGGAAGTTAGGGAATACAAAATATGTGGGTATCACAACGGGACATTATTTGAGCTCAATTGAGCTTTGGCTACAAGGCCGCCACTCCAACCTAATCTTACTCAGGCAATATGAAAATATTTTCTATTGGGAAATAAAACGAGGAAACGAGGTTCAAATAAAAGCAATAGTAACTATAATAAGTATACTTATTTTATTTGTATATTTATATTTTGTATATATATTTTATAAATATATTTAATTTATTACTTATATTTGAATGCGTTATAACTTATACAGTTCAAATCCACTGTAGACATTTAACACAGTGGTATGACGTATACAATTTATAAGAAAAATTACCAAAATTATAAAAAAAAAGTCGTGATTAATAAAAAAAACTCCGCAAGTTTGTGATATATTTTGATTTTGTATGTTTTGTGTAATTTTAAGTGAAACCCCGAATTAAATTAGTTTTTAATATTTTTAACCTTTTACTGTTTATTCCTGACTATTTGGTAGGTTTATATAATTCTTCCGTCGGCATATTAAACTAGTTTTAATTTGGTTGCATTTAAATGGAGATTTTATCGAAACTCGTAATATTTACGGCTTGGGGCACTCGTAAATCATTTCACCGAAAACAACGAAAATAAACAAAAACAAATAAAAATTAAACGAATTGTGCCAATAATTTTGTTTGTTTGTTGATTTTCGTATTTGTTTCGCTTTTGCTAATTTGGAGAGTTTCGGAGAAATTGCCGCAGCTAATTTGGGTTTCAAACGTGCTTTGAAGCTGATTTTGAATTTGTTGTTGTTTGAATTTATCATGACGCAATGCAAATTCATATTTAGTTTTTTTTTTTTTTAAAAAAATTATTATTTTTTTACCAATTAATATCGTGTGCTTTGGTGTTTTTAAATAAATAAAAATTATTTTAATATATAATGATTCGTTCGTATTTACTATAAAGAATTGCTAAGGCAATAATTAAACATTATTTAAAATATTTATTTTAAAGGGCTTTGAAATCTTTAAACGTATAAAACTATTTGTAATTAAAAAATTATTTTATTTTTAGATATTTTTCATAATTTTCATTTAATGAATGATGTCAATTCGGTTCATAAAAATATGCAAAAGACGAAGCAACGCACAACGCAACTTGGCATGCCTCCAAGTATCCACTTTATGACCAAAACAGTACAAAAAATATTCAAATCATGTAAGAAAGGAAAACTACTCACTTTTGCCAAGCAAAAAAGTTTGGAATTGTATCAGAAATTGCACGTCAGTTCAATTTATGACGATTCAATTCCAAACTTCACGTGTTTGTTTATTTCCTGTTGGAAATGTACTGTTGGAGTTACCGAAATGTGATGGTGCCAATTGGAATAACTGGATAAACTCCCTTCGACACTGTGACGCTGTGACACTGTGCAGCAAAAAGGTCTGTCAATATTTTAACACAAAAAATCACAGAAAAAAATAAATAACACAAAATCCAAAAAAAAAAAATAATCACAAAAATATTTTGTTGATGAGCACAGCAAAACTTAAACAGGTAAAACGGAAATAACGCGCCAAACGCAAAATATAATCGTCAAAATCCCGTTGTCATACAAAACGAATACACAACAATATCACGCACTAACATTAATATAAAATATGCAAGCGAAGTAGACAACCATCCAAATCGAAATCTTTGCGGCAACTGAGCCAAACGACAGCTGGAGTGCGTCCAAGCACATGAAAAATCATAATATGAATTCATAAAAAGCGAACACAAAGCAACAAAAAAACACAATAACAACTACTTGCGAAGCTTTGTACGGATAAAATAAAAAGCGGGCGGGGTAAGTACTGGGGCAACGTGTTTTGCGGCAACAAACACGTTTAATGCGAATATGATGAGCACAACAAAGAAGAGAAAAATAACAAAACGAAATGTAGACGCTAAAAATTATTACCATTCGTGCTTCGCAAGAGGCAAGTTGTGCTTGCATCCTCACAACAACAGGTGGTTTACGCATATCTGTGTGTGTGCCAACACAAAACGAAAAACCATTGTTATTGTTTTTTATTACTTCGATACTAATCACATGCCAAAGCTTTTATATTAACTGGTGAGCTTTCAAACAGCTGACTGTGTTTTGACAGTGGGATTACGTTAATAAGTTTCTTCTCAAAAATTTCTTGTTTAAATATAATTTAATTTATTTAATAGTAACAAAACTTTTATTATACAGTTTAACATATTCAATAAAAGCAAGATGTATTCTCGTTTATGGAAGTTAGAACAAACGACTTTTCATTTTAATCTGAGAAATATAACTTTTATTAATTTTAAAATTTTTAAATTTGCCTTGACTTTCTTACAATGATAGATAAGAAACTTTCAAAAAGTGTTTTATAGAGAGAATGAAAGACGATTTGAAAGGTTTTTGGTATTTTGGCCTCAAATTTATTAAAAATAATTTATTTTATTTAACAGAACCAAAACTTTTATTATACAGTGAAACATATTGTATAAAAGCAGTTTGTATTCTCATTTATGTTAATTAAAGTAAAACGATTTTTCGTTTTAATATGAGAAATACATCTTTTATTAATTTTAAAATTTTTTAAATCTACCTTAATATTCTTCCAAGGCAATTCTAATAGTGATACATTTATTAATTTTAAAATATTTTAATTTTTTAATTAAATTAATTGTAAATTTTAATTTACAAGGCACTTCTGACAGTAATACTTAAAAGAGACAATGAAAGACAGTTTTAAAGATTTTTGTTCTGGCACATCATTTTTCAAAAAACTTGTTTCATTTATAATTCGTGGTAAAAAGCTGATTTGCTATTTTGTGCTTTTGCTTTTGTGGGAAAATCAAAAACAGCTGTTAATCAATTTAAAATTTAATTTCAAAACATAAGTGATGACAAGCCATAATATGTATCATTGTTAATATTTATGAATAAATAATTAATTATTGAAAATCTCAAATTTAATTGATATTGTGAAAGAAATGACAGCGGCTATTAATACATTAAGCACAGTACTGACACAAAACAAAAAAATAAATTAGTTTTAAGATTATATCTTAAAAATATATAATTATAAAATATATAAACAATAAAAATTATAAACAAAAAATGTATATATTATGTATACACAAATATGTAAAATTTATTTTACAAAGTTTTTCAATAAATCAATACGTTTATGAATTGAACGCCGTATTAGAATCGAGTTTAAAAAAAATCTTCTATTTTTACAAATTTTAATTAATTAATATTTTTTGTTTTTATTTAATATTATATATATAAAGAAACTTTTTAAGTCGAAAAACAAGAAAAAGTCAGCTGCTAATCAAGACATGTTAGCACATCTGTTTGAAATATCTTTCAAAATATTTTTCGAAAGATTTTGACTGCGGTGAGCTGAAAGATAGTTGCCAGAATTGCCCGGTTAGTCTATGGTTATGAAAATGCAGAGTTATAGTTCACATGCTACAATCTAATACTGATAAGTAAATTTTATGCAAATATATTACGGTCAAAATTTGTTTGCATGGTATTCTGCATCTACGTAAAATTATATTCTAAGTAAGAATAAATGAATGAATGCTACTTAGGTATATGGTGAGTGTATTAAGTTGTACAATACTAACTACTCTCGTTTTTTTTAACAAATTCACTTATATACTACAAATACATATATAGAATATATATATATGTAATTAATTCTATTCATAAAGATTTACAACGAGATATTTCATATTTCATTTTTATATATGAACTATTTTTATTTGTCATATATATATATTAATCTAATACGATGTTGAAATATGTCGATGAATCAGATGAAGGAATGAATCCTCCTTGATTAACTAAGAAAACCATTTTGATTCCTTATAGTTGTAGGTAAAAGGATTGGCATATTAGAACCAGAAGAACGAATTAATAAATGTATCTGGTCAACGTTGAGAATTTCGTTTGATGCTGAACAAGCCTGGACATAGACACAATTGGTGCTTCGGCGTCTCTTTTTCATGCGGCGATGAACATGTATTTAATCTTATAATCCAGTGACCCGTTACGATAGATATTAACCCAGATATTTCCGATTTGCTTTTATGTACCAAGTCGAAAGCTCTTAATTTGGAGTATACTATACATTTGATTCTGAAGGTACATAGCACAGTAGGTTCCATAAAAAATGTGCTAAGTCTATGTACCTCAACTGCGCGCTCCTGCTATATATTACTTTCCTGCGATATTAGAATGCCCATCAATTCCAACTAGAGTAACCTTGGAGCTACTACTTAGTATGTTAGTACATTGTCTACATTCGTAAACTATTTCAGACGAAATACATACTGCTGAAAGAGGCAACTATTGCCTGACAATCAGTGGGAATTTATGTTTCAGGTTTAGCTTTTTTCACTTTAATTTTATCATTTTTCCGATGTTCATTTAAAAAGAAGCATTCAGACATTTGTGATTTTATCACTTCAACGATTAATGAGTTACCGTGATATGAAACACGTCTAAATGAGCCTTATATTAATATTTTAATCAAGTGAGGACTTGAAATTTCAATTATTTAAATCATCTTATTCTCATAGTGAAGTAAAAAAAATCAAATGAAAAAGTTATACTTAACCAAAAAGTTGAGTTTAAAAAATCTTAAATATTATTTAGAATAAATATCCTTTTAATAAAGCCTAAATTATAAGTAGAATGGGTACTATTTATTAAAATAGAGATTAAATAAATTAATTATTTACCAAAATATGTATATATATCATATGTTTTCTGCATACAATTTTCAGAAGTATATATATATATATATATATATATATGCAAACGTAATAAGTATTTCAATTAATTAATTTATTAATTTTTTAATTTAAATATAATAATAGAATAGTTAATAAAATAGAATAGAATATATCTACTACAATAGTTTTTTAAATTAAACATTGCTTACACATTGCTCGAATAAAAAATAAGACTTACCGAACCACCACGCATATTTCGTAAAGGATATCCACCTCTTTGTTGCATTTTCTTTCTAACCTTGCGATGAGGACGGCTAACAAAAAGATCCTCTACGCTGCTACTGGAATATTCGCCACTTTCAGAATTATTACCTAATTCTGCGTCCCGTTCACTGAGCTGTGAATAGCCAACCTCTTCAAAGCGATTGAATTTAGCGCCGATAGAACCGAATACACCTACAGTGCTGCCAACGTTACCACTTGCTCTGTTGGATTTCGAATGTTGTCGTCTATTTGAGTTCCTTGTCTTTGATCGTTTATTATTCTCAATTCTTTCATTAGCATCGGCAAATTCTGCTTGTTCTATCGGACTTGAACTTAAAATTTCTAACCAAGAATGCATAGTAACTAATCGAAGATATTAAATTGTTGTAATTGGAAAAAGTAGTAGTAACGTAGAGTTAGTTAGAATTCTTTACTCTAAAATATAAATATTGAGCAGATTAATAGAATAGTTTTATTTTATTAGTATTTTAATGGATTAAGTGATAAAAAAATGAGATTAGCCACAAACCGAAAATGAGCGATGATATATTACTCAGATATATTGATTTAAAAAAAAGATTTATATTATTGAGCATTTACACTAAAAGATTTTATATTTAATAAATATATAACAATTTTAATTAAAAATGTTTATAAAAGCTTACATATTATATTTACGAATATATCATTATTAAGCAAAAAATAATGAAAGAGAATAATTTATTGTGACTGCTTACTACATCTGTCTGGAGTTCAAAATTTTTAATGTACAATATATTAAAAATGTTCAAATTATAGTTCAAACGTATCTTTATTCTTCTAATAGGTTAGATAGGTTATATTCTAATTATTACCCAAAAAGTGTTGACTTATTGATTGTGAAACAGTATGAGTTGAAAAGCCTAATATAAATATATGATAATATAGTCAGAAAAAACCAATGCAGTGTAAGAAGGTGCATTTCGTGGTACAAAAGCCACGAAATATCTCCATAATTATGACTTTTCTGCGAATAGCGTTTTAAGTCAACGTTTTATGACACTCAAATAACACAAGTGTCACTATTTATATCTTGAGCCTTGGCCATCTGAAGTTTCCATACGAAAGTTTGACGTTATTAAACATAACCAACCTTCGACTTTTCATCAAAAGAGCGTTATTTGTGTTATACACAGTGATTTGTATATTGAGTATATAAGACTGTAATAAGTGACGATCATGGATATATACGTAAGAGCTAGAGCGTAAACAACAGTCGATTGCTTCTTGAAACATGAAGATAAACGAAATCCAACAGAAGTTATTCGCGCTTGAAGCCCTTCAAAACAAATAGTCGGTTGTTTTTTCGGGACAACTGATCTCATCTGGCAACTATACCATTACATAGTATACCATGGTATACAACCATTTATTTACTGGAAGTTTTCAGTGAAATACGGAAAACAAACAAGCGCCGTCGGATCTTCTCCATCTTCATCAAGATAATGCGAGTGCTCACACATCTAGTCTAACAACCAACTATTTGAACATTCAAAAAATCGTGTTGATAAGTCATCCGCCTGATTTACATACAGTCTTGATTTGGTATTCCGTGACTTCTTCTTGTTGCCGAACGTCAAGAGTAAATTGCGTGAACAACGACTTTTGTCGGTGGAGCCCTTGTTGTATTTAAAAACCATGTTTTGGAGGTGTCTGAAGAAGATTGGAAAAAATAATTTTACAAATGATTCGAACGCATGCAAAACTGCATTAATCATAAAGAAGAATACTTCAAGAAACAATAAAGCAATTTTCAACGACAAGTTAATATTTTTTCATTATTAGGCTCAAATTATAAATCCTGATCCTCGTAGTCGTTGGTAACAGTTTGGACAAATGGAAGGAGTTCATAATGTATTACAGTACGTTAACGGATAATGTTAACATCACCTTGATTATTGAACGAATTTGGTCCTATATTTTTATTTTTAGCTAACGGCATTTGCCTGATTGTACCGGGTCATATGAATATCCAGATACAAGACAGGCTTGTCTTTTCATGATTTTTGAACACCGAATCTTTGATTTCCTTGGTTTACTGTTCATCAATTGTTGTTGATGATCATTCGTCCGATTTTTGTGTTTAACAGTTTTTCTAATTCAATTAACTTTTAACAAAGAAAAGACAATTATCTAAATTTTACCCAATCTTTCACATCACGATATTAGAAATCTACATTTAAGTGTAAAATTAAGTGAATTAAGTAGAGTAGTACAGTTATTGCATTATACTGGCAGTATAAACTGCCATAATAAACTGATTAAGCGATATCTGTTGTTAGAAGATTTACTCCAGTTTGTATCTTTAAGGAGATGTACCCATCTTGTCAGAAAGATGGTTAAATATTAAGAAGAGGAGATTCAATTTCTTTTCCTGATTGGTTAACATACCTATAAGTTGAGTTACTGTCGCTATAAATACTTCATATTTATAAATATTCTGCATTATATGTAATAAAAATTTTCAATACAACCTCATACAATTTTAAAAAGTATTAAGATTAGTATTATTTTTATGAGACCTTTTTAGTTGAATTCTCAACTTTTTTGCTTGGAAGAACAGTTGAGGTTGAGGTTGGCTTAATGGTTTTAAGATTAATAGGAATACTTTTTGTTAATGTCATTTTACTTTGTGTGACAAATTATCTTTCCAATTAATTATTTATTAATTTAATTACTAATTAATTTTTTTAACCATATATCGTTGTCTTATTACTCTGTCTCTTCAACTTTCTTAAAAATCGGATAAATGTGTTAATATTAAAATAAGCCATCTTTTGGATTAAGTGGATTTAATAGAATGAAATAGCTATGATATAAAAATAAAATTGAAGATAAAAGACATTCATCTATAGAAAACAATTAATTTCTTGCCAAAAATAATAAATAAATAAATCCATAAAGAGCTTGCTTTCTATGTAAGCCAATGAAGATTATGGAAAGGTAAGTTTAGTCCTCAATCTGTTGGCAATCTAGTTAGGGAAAGTGTGTAACTTTTGCAAATGAACTTAGAAATGTTTCATAGAGGCTCTTCGAAGCTGAGTTTTGTTACTGTTATTACATATTTTCGTTTTTATTCAGATTTTCTATGCTACGTATGCGCAATAATGATTCCGTGAATTAAGTTGCGATTGAAGGTAAACAACAACGAACTTCATTGAATGAATTGGGTTAAGGCATTTGCACAATCAACAATTGAAAGCTGAAGAATTCAAAAGGAAAGATACTTTTTATTGCAATTCCTTCGTTTTAGTTCAGATACACTTAGCACAATTTGACGTATTTGGAAAGTTTGCTAGAGATTCGTTCAGTAAATCGTTTAGCTGTAAGTAATTGACTTTAACAAGCCTTGAGATATCAAGTGTTTGCTATTTTAATTGTTCACTTGTTGAGATTTAATTTTAATTTTTTTCTGCATGGGCACCATTTATTGCACTGGGCGTGGAAGTGTTACGCTTCGTGGGTGAATTTTCGAAGCGGTATTTGTGCATCAACTCTTCCAGATGGGTGAAACCATCAAAATACTTTTATCGCCTTGTTAACAAAATCCACCAGTCCACTGATTGGTTATAAAATCGGCAAACAAATTAATGTCTGTACTCTTTTTTTGTAATCTGAGGTAGTGAACCAGAAAGGAAGACTCAACAATAATAACAAACACCATCAAAATTTCTTACAGTTTAAAATACTTTAAACTAGGAATTAAATTGATAGTAAAATATATCTAATTGAATACGTATTTTTCAAAAACTTTTTCTACAAAAATCAATTTTCAACTTGCAATTTGAAAACTCTTATTATTTTTATATATCATAAAATCAGAAATTAGTACGATTACGTTTGGTAATAAAACCTCCCAACTTCGTGTACATTAATAATCTGGTTAACAATATAGAGGTTAAAAAAATTCTGAACGGCCAACTAATACTGCTCTAGAGATTGCTTACTTCACCCATTACAATGTTTTTTACTGTTCGAAGCGTACACCATATAAACCTACAATTTTGGGAGATGATTGTGAACTTTTTTAACAAGATTATGCCATTTATTTAATAGAAATATGCATCTATAACTTAATTATATCAGCAAAATGCTGAGAATCGATAATATATTGTTTTAGCTCCTTAGACAATACTGGGCTTGTCATACTTTTTCGTTAAACTCTTACTAAGCATAGGATAGGTAAGATTATACCGACTTTGCTAGAGATCCACTTATGCCCATTCGCTTATTATGTTACTCTTAAAATTTTGTAATGGTTTAAAAACTTTCTGCAAATTTTAGTACAACCTAAAATGTTCTTTAAAAACACGTAGTGAGTCTGAACAGTATTCTCTAAACAGTTAGTCCAGTATGATATTTCATCGTTGAGCATGCGTTGGACAGTCACATGTTATTTTATCTTCTTGCATTGATCACTAATCCATTGTAACTAGACAATAAATCTACCACAATTCATAAATTACTAAACTCTTTCTTATTTATATGAGTCTATCTTTCATTTGCATATCGTTAAGTCCTTTTATCTTATCTTAAACTGTTCAATACAAAAAAATTTTAACAATTATTTGCATGATACCAGCTGTATGATCAAATCTTTCAGACGTTCCAGATGAGCACGGAAAGCACTACTCCTGGCCAGTTCATATACATTGCAATTACCTGTGATATCCATGATTTCAGTAACTTTTTATATGATGTCAGCAATGTTACTTTTTCAGATGTTTCGAACAAATATCTAAGGCACTCCGTCTACTCAGCTCATCCGTCACGCGATTGACTGATATATACGAGTAACTGAATTTAAAGACAAAGAGACATTTATCTCGTTCAATGGTATAAAGCAGTTAAAACCATGCCAAATCTTAATTGGACTTAACTCGAGTACTTTAAAGCAGCTTAACTATTTTATTGTGTACATATACCATTTGATCAAAAAAAAAACGAGAAGTTGAAAAAACATGCAAAATTTTAATTTTTAATAATTTTCTTTATTATCGCTTTCAAAGTACTCTCCTCCTGCGGCAATACATGCATGCCAACGCTTGATCCAATTTTCCATACAAGTTTTATAGGCCGCCGAAGGTATGGCCTTTAGTTTACGCAGCGAATTCTCTTTTATGGCCTCTATGGTCTCAAAACGCGTTCCTCGCAATGGCTATTTGAGCCGGGGCTTCCCCCACGGTTCCACGAGGCAATGTCTGGAGAGTACGGTGCTTGGTTGATGATATTGGTGGAGTTTTTAGCTTTGGCCAAAAACTGCTACACAACCAACGCTGTGTGAGCCGGTGCGTTATCGTAGTGTAAAATCCTTGAGTTTTCCTTTCATAAATCTGGCCTCTTTTTGCGAATGGCCTCACGCAAACGACGCATAACGGCAAAATAATACTCCTTATTGACCGTTTGACCGTCCGGAAGGAATTCATAGTGCACCACACCACGAATATCGAAGAAAACAGTCAGCATAACTTTGATTTTGGACCGACTTTGGCGTTCTCTTTTCGGTTTCGGCTCACCTTCGAACCACCATTCGGTCGATTGTTGTTTGCTGGTCATGTCAAACGTATAGACCCATATCTCATCATCAGTTATGACGCGTTCAATGAATGTGAGGTCATTATCTGCGTTGGAAATCACCTTTTTGGCCACATCACAACGACGATTTTTTTGAATGAAATTTAGCTAAAAATCGCCACACGAAAATATTTCGACTTCTTTGTATAGACGTCAAACAAAAATTAATCGTACGATATGCGTTAAACTTTGACAGAATGTGTATAATAGTGTTGCCGGCGTGAAAATAAAAAAAATTTACCGGTTGGATAAACGTATCCAAGTTTTTTTTTGATCACACGGTATATATATTGCTATTCAATATATTATCCACTTCAAGTCAAGCCACAGCATCCCTAATAGTGAGCACATTCGTCCGAAAAACACCGCAGTGATAAGGATGTCTATAATATGCATTTCTTTTCAGTTTCTTCTCAAGTGACTCCAAGACAATCGTTTTTCTCTAGATTTCCTTTACACACAATAGAAAGGAAGCCTTCCGAAATCCAGTTGAAACTCAATTTATGAATATAAATTATAAAAATATGAAAATATTGAAAATGAAGTACTGTGGAATCTTAACAACCTTCTCAGTAAAATAAATTCCTTAATATCTTTAGTAGTACTACTCCAGTGACACCATTTAACTTAAAAGTTAAGGTACTGTTTTATTCGAAAACATTAATAAGTTTGTCGAATTTATTGCAACAGACATTTGTTAAAATACATATTTATTAAGAACGTAGTCAATATTAAAAAACTAGGAGTATCTTTTAGGTGCACTAGATACTTTTTTTGATGTATGTAAAACGTTTTCATAAGTCACGATATAAAAAAAACATTACCGAATTGCCAATTTAAATTAACGTTTTTTTAAATATTTTCTTAGGATTTAATAAGAAACGATCCCAATATACAGTTTTTATTTAGTTACCGACCAAATGTAGCGAACGTTCTCTAACTGAAGATATCAGCCAACGATTATTCTCCGCTGAGCACTCAAAAAACACTTAATACGCCATTTAATCAAAATTTCTAATATATCTTAATACTTATTTTCTCCATAGATCATGGATGAGCGAAAATTTCATTTAATTAGGTTAGTGTTTTATTCCAGCCATTTTACCAAATAAATTTCATTTTGAAATACATGTTCGGAAAATGAAAAACATATTAAAAAACTTAGTAATTCATTATACTGATTAAGTAATTAACTACTCTTTTACAATACCATTTTAAAATTGCTCGTAAATAGTAGTGTAGACCATTTATTTCGGATTTAAATGCTTCTATTTTTCCATGGCGTAACAATGTTCCACATAATTTAACATCTGTAATAAGTTTATTGCTTAATGAAATTAGCTTCGTTGCTGCTATTAAAATTTATATATAGAAAGAATTATATGTATTCATGTTAATTAATTTCCCAAAAACTATTGAAATAATTAACTGTAGGTGCCTTCTTCAAATGAGCGGTTTTCCTCTGATAAATTAATATTCGCTGGGCGAATACATGAAAGAAGTTTTCATATTATATTCGGGAGCTTCATTCCAATTTTTGGACATGGAGTACTAAAGATTTTTAAAATATTTACGCTCTAACACTTATCTAATCTGATTTATCCGAAAATGTATAATATAACGTACTTTCTAACCACAAACGTTTCTCTATAAAGAATATGTTCTTTAATTTTAATTTAGATACGTAGTACATATTCAACGCTGTATTAGATAACCTCTTCACATATATAAAGCTATGGAACCTATCCAATAAATGGCGGGCTGTATACTGTGCCAACCTTAGTAAGCTGTCTATACTATGTAAATAAATAAATAGTGATAGTTTTACATACTATCAACAGAACTTTTAAATAAAGACGACAGTGAGACCACTGTCACAACAAACATTTCAAACATATGCAGTTCTCAACATACTCATTATTATTTATAACGTATATATTTAAAAACGAATAGTTATCACAGAACTATTTTAAGTAATAGGCTATTAAAGCACCCCGACCTAAAAAATCTATTGTGCGCTGGATCACAGAACTATTGATATTGAAACTTAATTATCCATATAGGCATAATAATTACAATAATGAAATATAATAAACATCTGATTTTATATAAAACATATTAAATAACATCTATTGTCCAGATATCCAGTTGTTGAAAAACCCGAGCTTGAAAAACCATTCCTAGTAACTACAAACAACTATTATAAACTAATATCAGATGTGGATGGTTATTGATTCAAGAGTACATGTATCTTAAAACTCCTCTAGAAAACCAAATCACTAGGTGTGGAATCATATTATTATATATATTTTATATATATATTTATATTTTATATATTAACACAATGATACCTTAGGCGATCTACGTCTAATTTGAAGTAGCCTTAGCCTCAAATATAAAACCTGTTTCATACATTAAATTAAATATTATTTATATATGCTTTATAAAATATTTATAATTGAATATATAATCAAAATATTTAATATATGTAGTGTCTAAATATATTATGAAATAACATAACATATTTAATTTTTGTTTTAAATAAAATATTTAAATTTTATTTTAAAAAAAAAATTATGATCGGACTATTTTTGAAGATATATTATTAATTTTCGATTAAATATGATTTAGTTTTGTCTTTTTATTTAACTTAATTGGGTGATATAGAGTATGGGTTTTCTCTTTAGAAGAGAGCAATTTTTGACTGAGTGACAAATGCAAATCTACTACTAGTGACACACATATCTCATGGAAAATGGAATACAATTCTGACCCTCTCCATATGGGTTTTAAAGGTAAAAGCAACTGAATTTTGAAATTACGTGGAATTTTATAATTGATATCAAATAAAAACTTATAGGAATAAATAATTATTAAAAAACTATATATTGTCATATTAATAGTTTTGTAAGTTAAGCCACTATTGCGTCCATACTCTCCATTAATATCATTTCTGCTAATAACTTCTTCTGTGAAAAAGTGAAGGCATCTTTTAAAAAGACGCTTCTAAAATCTTTGTGAAAAGCTTTAATAGAACTTTTCAAATTTCAAATAAAGCAATCCCTTTTCAGCTGATGAGTTGTCCTCAGTTATTGGTATTTTTTGATGCCATATGCCAATTTTAGCCCAGTGTAATTCAATGTACGAGTATATAGGTATCACAAAAACTTCTTGATAGTTTAGATGCGATGAATATATTTTATATCTGGAATAGTTCTAAGTACACTTTAGTTAAATATTTTGTTTTTTGAAAAGGTTTATGTTAATAAAATAAAAGAATTGTGATTTAGTTTTTAATTATATATATTCCTCTATATTAATATTTACGACGTTTCGAAGTTTGTTTGGTTTCTTCCTCAGGGCGAACTATTATTTCAACTGCTCTTGGAAATAATACTCCCATAATAAAAACAATTGTTTTATTCGTTTTCCGTATTTCTAAAACCATTAACTTTCTTTCACAAATTGTTGCCAATTTATCTATCGAGATGACAGTTTGATGTGTATAACATATCTAGAGTTGTAGGTAACTAATTTAAATCCAGTATAATGCAATACGTCCGTCAGAAAATTTTACAGTTTGCTTGAGATATTCGTTGAAATGCCATTACCCTGATATCAGAGAATGATTTTGTGTTCGATAGAATATAATTGTATTCTATGTCAATCAGTATTTAAGATAATTTGTATAAAGTTATTTTCTTTTATAGAGTACCACATTAACAATATTGGTTCACATTAAATTATTAACAATAAAAAATTTGATACAACTAAGCATAATTTTTCACAGTGTATTTGTTTTGTTGACTAAATTAATAAAACCATCAAAGCCGCATTAGCATTTTCTAACCATTCAAGCCGACTTAGCATAGCCGCACATAAAAGTTCTTGAAAGAACAGTGCTCCACTGGCGAGAGAACAGCAATAATAACAACAACAATAACGGCAGCAACAACTAACAATAACTAAGACTACAACGATTAACTAAGCTACATGCAAAGCCAGGCTTGTTTGTGTTTGCTTTCTTTCTTTCTTTAAACGGAAATTTACGTGAACGTTCTTCTCCGATGGACGTAAACAGCCAAAGAAACACACAAGCAACATATGTGCAGCACAGCAAAAACCCCAGCCGAAGACAGGCTAACTGCCAGCAACAGTTAGCACTGCGCCAGCGGCAGCAGAAGCTTCTACGCCGGCGTCTTGAAGATCAATTACCAAACAATGCGTACCAACTCGGGAACACAACGGATACGTTTAGTAGCAGTCAAGACTTTCGCGAGAAATGTTGTGGATTTCAAAGGTTTTAGCCAACTCAAGTAGCCACGGAAAGGCGTGTTGTTAACAAAACTGCGCTTATCGATTTTACATTAGGTTTCAACGGGAACGTGTACGGTTTACAAATTGTGCAGTTTTACAATAAATAAAATTTGAAAAATCTAACAATAATTGTCAAAATTATTTAAACAGCTTTTATTGTAGCTAATAAAATTCTAAACAAATCGACAACGAAATATCGTCAATAAACCCACACGCTCAACTCAAGCGGTGTCTAGTCTGAGATTAATCTGTGAGATACATTAGCATAATAAATGCCCATTTTGTTGTTTTTGTTGTTGTTTCGAACACAAAAAAATTAGAGCGGCAAAATTTAAATGTAGAACGCATTTCCAAATAGAGATACTAACTTAAATCATCAATAGTTGGGAAGTGCTTGACACTGACGATTGAAGGGTCTAGTGACTGCATCGATTGAATGCAAATGTAAACTAATATAATAAAATTCTTCGACTTCAACTTCTCTCATTTTCGCAAATATATAATAAAAATTCTAGTGCAATTTCAACTTTTTAGTGCAATTTATTTACTGAAAATTAACACTGCAATTGGTGCAAGAATTTATTTGTGAAAAAAACAAAAACGAATTGCGAAAAACAACAAATAACGAAGAAAATTGCATAATAATCTGTTATTGTTGAGTTCGCAAATAATTGAAAAAAATGTTCTACTTACGCCAACTACAATTTATTTTAATAATTTCCTGTATAGGCGCAAACTTTGCGCAATCAGAACGTGTCTCACCTGCAAAAGACACCGCTGCTGCTGCTGCTTCTGCCGCTGCCATTTCAATATCAACAGCAGCCTCAGCCTTAGCTTCAGCCACTACATCAGCATCAGCACCAACAACAGCTTCAAATATTATTCCAGGAAAATATCATACCTACCCACAACAGCAACAGCAACAGCAACATCATCAACACCAACAACAGTCAAAGAAATTGCTGTCGATTGGATTTGATACGAGGTTTGGAAAACCAGTTGCAAAACAGAATCCTATCAAGAATTGGTTCGGCGCATTCAATCGCAACAATGGTCCACCATCAACAGAAGCAACGCCGAGTACGTGCTCTTGCAGGTACGTAGAAAAGATTGTTCCTATTAATAGTGCATCGTCTGGTAAACCAAACAAAAATTACAGTTAAACTGCGAATATGAACATGAGAGCCGCCTTTTAATCGAGTGTCTCACGCGATTTTCTAGAGGCGCAGTTCTTAATTGGGTTACTTTGATTTTCTTTTGCAATTTGCATTTTTCCTATAATTAAAATAATACAAACATAATAATGAGCAAATGAGTAAGAAACTGTAACAGTACAGAAAATTTGAATACAAGAAGAATGTCATTATTGAACCGCAAGAATTGAACCGTGTAGTTACATCTAAGAAAATTTAGCTGGGAGTATGAGAAACAGTTGAAGTAATGAATAACAATTCAAGGGCAACTGCTGACACTAAACTTCCCAGAAGCATACTATTCACTTTTATTTGGAGTACTTCAGAACTTTCTCCCATTTAATTGTTAATAGAGTATTCTTAGTGCTGGCAAAGAAGTATTTTATCAATAGAATATATTGAGATTGTTGGTACTAACTATTCTGCGGAACAGAAGCTGACCAAATCTTTCAGACTTCTACACTATACCGACGCTTTGCATTAATGTCAATAAAATTTTTAATAGGAAAATTTAAGATTAATTTAATAGGTTATTAAAAGTTAAATTCGTTTCAGTATATTTCTCAGAATGATTAGTTAGAGTACCATTAAAAGATATTTGTGTAATATTATATATTTTACACAGTGAATTGCGTATGATGATGGTATTAGTTGACACTAGATTTGGGAACTATTTCAGTGCATCATTAGTTACAACCAGATTAATATATTTACAATGTTTTAACAACAGTTGGGAAAGCATAAAAAATGCTGCGACATCTACCAGCATTTTTTAGTTAAATTCTACTGGATCTAAATGCCTTACAAACCCTAATTAGCCGAAAATCAGCTTATTTGTGACCCTTCATAGTAGTAAACATAAACTCCAAACTATATAGCATCATGTTTTCTTAAGGATCATAGTGAAATACCTCAGATGACTCTAAGAAAACCTTTAAACTATGGGTCATTCCATCAAAGTTTATAAAAAAATATATTTATTCTATGATTACTTTTGTACCAATAACACAAACATACTGTCACTTCAGATGCAATAACACTACCTCAACTTATCCAAATCTTATAAAATTATTACAGTACATCAGAGAGGGATCTAATTACCGACACAAGTAACTGCCAATAGATCAAATTACTACAAATTCTTGTTTTCAAGAATTACTATTTACTTTGAATTATCGAAGAAGGAGTTTGACCCATACCAATTACTTATTTCGTAGAGAAACCTATATTACAAAGAAAAGGTGCAAGTTTTAGAGATATTAAGGTACACCCTCAAATGTTTTCTTGAACAACGATATTGTGTAGAGCATGAAACCATCCAGTTTCAAACTATTGTGTAGGGTATTCAGATATGTCCAAATGTCTTGAAGATATCTTCTATGATAGATTGATCAAATTTTAACTCATAACCATTTTATTTTTTGTATTTATTCATGGTATGTTCGTTACAATATTAGATTGTATAAACCTCGCCTATTGACAAAGACTGCACAAAAGTTTTCCAATTTTGCCTATTTCTAGCGTTATATTTCAGTTCACCTATTGATTTATTTATTTCATTGCTTATGGTTTTGCGCCAAGAATCCCTTCTGGATTCCAGGTTAATGCAGCATGTGCTACGTCAGTTGTGCTTTTGTTTGTCCAATCCATCTATATTTCCGTTGTCGAACTTTTTTGACTATTTGTTATCTTGTTTATTTAATTAAAAATATTATATAAAATATTGTATAAATATGAAAAAAATTCTATATATATTTATAAGAATATTTATATATAACAAAATTAGATAATGTTGCTTTGTCATACGAATATGACACTTTCAATTTATTCTAACGCTTTCATATAAATAAATAGTTTGAATCAATTAATACAATAAGAAAAAAAGAAAATGATATTCATCTCTTGGGGGTTTAGAAATGCATACTGCACTTCTTTTATTATTAATAAATATTCTTAGAAAACTTTTTTTTAGAAAACTTAAGTTTCTTAAAAACTTTTTATTCAAGTTTTTACTCGCATGTACCCATCCGTATCCATTAAACTTTAGCGCAAAAAGAAGTCGTCTTTGACGTGCGGTATTTATATTCCATAAAGTGTTCGTTGCTTGTGATTGCGCCATATCTGCGATGTCATTACACAAGCCATAGACTTTTATGTGCTTGTTCTTCCTGGTTACGAGTATCACTTCCATTTCTCATGAAAACGGTCTTGACAACAATTTATTTCAGCAACAAATTCCTTGGCATCCGCACATTGGGTGACAATTTTTCTCAGCAGCGTATTGTCAATAGATGCGATTGCGTTGCCTTATATGAAACTCCGATGTGCTCAGATTCAGTAACAGAAAATTATTTTCACACAAATTTATCTCACTTGCCTAAGTTAGTGAGGCCAACGAATTCCAGTAGAGTCAATATAATTCGTTACGTCTGCTATAATTTCTGCGGAAGAATATGAAGCCACATAAGACCGGCTTATATGCGCTCAGATAATGTTTTCTCATAAATTTTTCGTGAACAGAATTATGAGGCGTGCAAATTAATTTATGATTCAGAATGTTTACAGTTGCATTCGAATTACTTCTGTAAATTATTTTTAACTGTTTTCGTCATGTCATTAAGGATATTACTATATATTTTATAACTTTTTAAACTGTATCACAATTAGGTTAACAATTTGCCATGTCTTAAATCAGTATCTTATCTTCAATTGTAACATAATTCTAGTGCAGATACATTTAAATTATTATTGGGAGACGTCCCCGTTGGAGTGGGGGTCTTATATCTTATTTTTATGTTTTTAAGTTTTACTTGACAGCAGAATGTCACCATTTATTCAAAAGTAACAAATCTAAATTTTATTAGAATAAAGTTAAATAATACAATAACAGTTTAAATATAAGGAACATGGAGAAATATATTCTTCTCTAAATATAAATAAAATTGTCTGCTGCAACATTTAATAATCATTAGGATACATACTTCAGTACCAGTCTTAAACTTAAAAATTTTAAATGGCTTTAAGATTCAAAAGTATCACTTTTGCATTCTCTGCAAGTCGGGATGGACAGTAATTTTGTTGAGTCCAATTACAATAATGTACCATAAATAGATACAACTTTTCGAACCATAATCAATTTTATCTCATCTATTAGTATGTTTAAGAGGTGTATTGCTTTGAAAACCATGTCTATAAAAATATTCAAGTAATCATTGTTCCATCTTTATTTTTATCAGAACGCTTCCAACTTTGTTTAGTTAATATATAAATTTAAATAGTACATATATTAAAAATTACGTATTATCTTTTTTTTTTTTTTTTTAAATTTTATTTTGATTTTTATTGAATCTTCTAAAAATCAACTTAGAAATTTTCGCTGCTAATTGCTGTATTAAAATATTTGAAAAAAGAAAAGTAGATAATTAATTGTCCTTAGCCAAAGCTTCGTCCAATTTCGTTACCATGTCGGGCGTTATTCTTGAATAGCCGGGTTTATGTAGTTTTTTTTGAGTCGCTGTGTACCAGCGCTTTGGGTAAGGTTGCTTGCAAGTGGATTTTGATGGTTCCTGAGTTTGATTTTGTACTTTTGTGTGTTGCTGGTAATTACATCTGTGACTGTGTCAATTCGAAGATCTCTATGAATATTTGCGTTTTTTATATACCAGGGGGCACCGACTATTTGCCGGAGGATTTTTGATTGAGTTCTTTGAAGTTTTTCAATGTTTTATGGAGAAGCAGAGCTCCAGAGTTCAATTCCGTAGGTCCATATGGGTTTCATCATTGTGTTGTAAAGTTGCACTTTATAGGTGAGATTAAGTTTAGAATTTTTATTTATCAGCCAGTTTAGTTCTTGTTGTTTGAGTTTAATTTGGGTTACTTTAGTTTCTATATGCTTTTTCTACGTAAGCCTTCGGTCGAGGTGCATTCCTAAGTATTTGGTGTCATTGCATTGTGGTATTACTTTTCCATTAATACGAAGGGCAGGGCAGGTATCTCGTCGTAGAGTGAAGGTTATGTGTACACTTTTCGATTCGTTAACTTTTATTCTCCAGAGATCGAGCCATTTTTGCAGTTTGTTGAGGTGGTCTTGAACTGATTTTGTGGCTGTGAATGGGTCGTCACTATGGCTGAGAATGGCAGTGTCATCCGCAAATGTTGATGTTGTTGTACAGTCACTGGTTGGCATGTCTGCTGTGAAAATCAGGTACAGCAAGGGGCCCAGAACACTACCTTGGGGTACACCTGCCATAATGGGGAAGGCATTGGAGACAAAAGAATTTTGTTTTATAACAAATCTTCTATATTTGAGAGGTAGTTTTTGATAACTGAGGATATATTGTATGGTAAATGTTTCTCAAGTTTCCAGAACAATCCTTCGTGCCAAACTTTGTCAAAGGCTTGGGTTATGTCTAGAAAGACGCCTGAACAATACTGCCTCTTCTCAAACGTTTCCTTAATTACTCGTACTATGCGGTGTGCTTGTTCTATTGTGTTGTGTTTTTCTCTAAATCCAAATTGGTGGTTAGGTATTATTCTTTTCTTATTTATATATGGCATTAGTTGTTTTATAAAAAGTTTCAAATAATTTTGAGAGAATTGGAAGCAGACTTATGGGTCTATATGAGGTGACTTGAGCGGGGTCCTTTCCGGGCTTGGGTATCATCATGATTTTGGATAGCTTCCAGTCGTTTGGAAAATATGCAGTCCTTAAAATAGCGTTATAAATAAAAAGTAGTTGGTCTTTGGCGATTTGTGGGATCTCTTTCAGCATTTTCGCTGTAATTAGGTCGTAGCCTGGGGCTTTTTTGGTATTTAAATTTTTGATTTCGCTTTTTAGTGTTTTTTTACTGAAGCAAATTGTCATATTGTCGTTTCGTGTGGAGTAAGGCAGAGAGTCAAGTTT